TGGAATATTACTCAGCCATAAAAAAGAATGAAATCTTATCATTTGCAACAGCATAGATAGACTAGAGGGTATTATGCTCAGTCAACTAAGTCAGTCAGAGAAAGACAAATATCATAGGATTTCACTTCTACGTGGAATCTAAAGAACAAAAGAAATGAATAAGCAAAAATTGCAACAGACTATTAAATACAGAGAGCAAACTGGCAGTTGTTAGAAGAGAGGGATTTGGAGGACTGAGTGAAAGAGATAAAGGAATTAAGAAGTACTAATTGATAGTTATAGAATAGGCATGGGGTATAAAGCCCAGCAGAGGGAATAATATAATAACTATGTATAGCACCAGGTGGGTACTGGAAATATTCAGGGAACAGTATGGAAAGTTTATGATTATCTAACCACTAAGGTGTATATCTGAAACACTACAAAATAAAATTGAAAGAAAAAATAAAAAAATAGAAGGAATCTGCTAATACTGCTTCCGAGCAGCGGCCCAAATATTAATAGACTGGAACCGGTCTGTTTTGTGTTTCCTTCAAAGGCCTAATAGCACCCCCATAGATATGCGTCAGAAACATATGATGAAGAAAACAGCCAGTTTCTGTGCTGGTTCAAAGTGAGAGTTTTGGACTTGTCCAGTTGGCTCAAGTACTGTTTTGGAGGATGCTCTGAGGACAAGGAATGCTCGGGTTAACCTTGCATGTTTGGACTTGAGAGATTCTCTAAGGCAGAACCAGACCCCTCAAAGCCGCTGCTGATATGCACGGTTCCTTTTGGGACAGGGATGGGAGACATTGGCGAAGCTGGGTGACCACTTGAAGCTGAAGCATTTTGGCCAAATGGAAGCAAGTCAAACCTGCTCAACGAACTTCATTGGATTTTCTGGTTATTTCTGGAGTTGGCATTTCTGGATGTTACCGGTCTCCCCATTACCCCTTTCTTCTCAGCAGCATTATTGAAAGAAATGTTTGGTGGTTGTTTTCTGAAGTCAGATGAAATTTGTTGATGACGTCAACTTGAATTTAAGTCGGCTTGTTGTGATTATTGTCAGGCAGCTATACTCACCGCTATACCACCAACGCCGCAGGGCTTCTTGTAATTATTGAAGAAAAACCACTCCATTGCCTCTTTTTCCTGCTCCCAAGCGAATGCTAATCAAATAAGGATATTTGATTAACTTCTTGAAACATTTTCAAATGTGCCTTGAAGGACCAAATTGATAAATTAGATAAAATCAATTGCTGGAGGTGACAACTTGTGAATCACTGTAATTCATTCTGCCAGTCGCTCGAGCAACGCTGTTAAGTCGAGAAGGAAGTAACAGACACCTGACAGCAGAGGGGAACTTGAGGACCCAACTCCTCCAACACTGCCTTATGCAATGCAGTTACGGGATAAACCGGAACCTGGTGGTTGCTTCTTTATAATTTGGAATGCATTTTTATGTTTTGTATGGGCTTTATGGGTACATGTATTACGTCCCTGATTATCTCTTCTCTTTGAATTTATTGTTAGATTGAAAAAATTGCTCTTTGTTTATTGTTCTCCATTGTTGATCCCTAATTAAAAAGGCAGGCACCTGATCTTTGGGTGAAGGTTGCAACAGAGGGGAACATGCACAATTAAACTCGGAGGCAGTTACAGCCTCTTGCTGGGATGGTGGCATTGATCTGAGGGTCCCAAATTAAAAGTCATGTAGAGCCTATGAAGAAATCTGGAAGAATTTTAACTCTGATTACTTTGACATCTGAAAATCAAAGCAATAAGGATAAGATGTGAAACCTGGGTTATTTCTTCTGGAAGGAAAAGATATAGGCTACATTAAAGGCTGCCTTCAAATAGGCAAAGTTGGTTGTTATTCCAAGGAGAGCGATACGTCTTTTTATGTACTCTGTGGATAAAATTAGGGAAAATTGGTTTAAATTGTAACAGAAGAGATTTGGATTAAATGGGGAGAAGAAACTGTTCTGCTAGGAAATGCAAAGTGAAAATTAAGAAAATGTGTGGATTTCACTTCGACATTAGATTGAATAGTCTTATCCATTTGGTGATCATCCAAAAAATGTCCTTGTTCTCAAGATCCTGAGATTTTATTATTCTATCACCATTCAATTTTGTACTTTTAGAATACCACTTTTATAATTATATCTTCTTGGAAGCAAAAATACCTTTCTTAATATGATTCTTAGGAAACAATGACTGTGTTCCATTATTGAATCATCTGTACCTGCTCCAAGAGTAAAATGGGTGTTTAAGAAAATGCTGTGTTCTAAGCAAATATTTAAAATTCCAGACTGAAGGTGATTTTTTTCTTAAAGCTGCTAGGTTTGTACGGGTTTTTAATTTGCTCTCTCTTCATTTGCCATGTCTTGGCCTTTAAGTCCTTGTTATAACTGATGTTTCCTCACTAAGGCAGAAGAGGGTTTATCAAGAAGACCTCAAATTCTATAGTTTGGGGGTAGAGGGAGCTCTGAGGAAGGCCTGGTTTCTTTTGGCCCTCAGATATTGCTACCTATCGAGTTTGTATGGCATGTCATGATGCTTAGAGCTAAGCCGTTTCAATAAAAAGAGTTGAATATTATATTGGTAAAAAGTTTGAAAAATTATTTTGGTTCCCAGTATATATTGTTCCCTCCATGACACCATCAACCTCAGCAATGAGTTTTACTGTTTAAAAAAACAAAAACAAAAACTCAAAATAAATTTTGACTCTAAATGTGGTCACATAGTGTGGATTGAGAAACCTTCACCTCTCATAGCATAAAGGTCAGACCGTGTAACAATTTCTGAGAAGCAGATCTATCATACCTCCCAGGTACAAAAGTAAATTTCTACATGTTACAGTAATCTCCCACTCATTTAAAGCTTTTAAAATCTGTTGGAATATGAATATTCATTTTTAACACACATTTTGAAGCTTAATTGAAAATAAGATCAGGTTGCTCCCTAACATAGCCAACTCACTCTATAAGTTGTTAAGAATCTGTTGTGGTTGTGATGCCAAAGACAATTGTAACTTGAGATGTTTGTTTCTGAAGCTCTCAGACAAATAACTTATAAAGTGAAGAGTTTACATTTAAGACTTAGTTGGATCTTTAACAAAGGTGCCAAGAACACACAGTGTGTCAAGGACAGTTTCTTCTGTCAGCAGTGTTGCAAAAACTGGGTATCCACATGCAGAAGAATGAAATTGGACACTTACCTCACTCTGTATACAAAAATCAACTCACAATGGATTGAATGCTTAAATGTAAGACCTGAAACTGTAAAACTATTAGAAGAAAACATAAGGAAAAAGCTTCTTGACATTAGTGTGGGCAATAATATTTTGGGCATCACTGCAAAAGCACAGGCAACCAAAGCAAAAATATACAAATGGGATTGCACCGAACTAAAAAGCTTCTCACAGGAAAGAAAGCAATCAACAAAGTAATGAGACAACCTGTGGAATGGAAGGCAAATATTTACAAACCATACATCTGTTAAGAGGTTAATATCCAAAATACAAAAGGAGCATAAACAACTCAATAGCAAGAAAACAGATAACCTGATTTAAAAACGGGCAAAGGACTTGAATAGACATTCCTCCAGAGAAGTCATGCAAGTGGCCGACATATATATGGAAAGATGCTCAATCAACATCAGTAATCATTAGGGACTTGAAAATCAAAAGCATCATGGGATATCACCTCACACCTGTTAGAAGGGCTGTTATGGAAAAGATGCAAGGTGTCGGTGAGGATGCGGAGAAATGGGAACCCGCGTACACTGTTGGCGGAAATGTCAATGGGTACAGCCACTGCAAAAAACAATGTGGAGGTTCCTCAAAGAATTAAAACTAGGACTACCATGTGATCCAGCAATCCTACTTCTGACTATCTCCAAAGGAAAGGAAATCAGTATCTTGAAGAGATATCTGCACTCCCAAGTTCATGGCAGCATTATTCACAATATTCAAGAAATGGAATCAACCTGTGTCCATCAAAAAATGAATGGAAAAAGAAAATGTAATACACACATATGGTAGAATATTATTCATTAATAAAAAATAAGGAAGTCCTGTCATGTGCCCTAGCAGGGATGAACCTGGAAGGCATCGTGCTAAATGAAATAAGCCAGGCACAGAAAGACAGCTACTGCGTGGTCTCACTTATATGGAGAATCTAAAAATGTCAGACTCCTGCAAACAGTAGAATGGTGGTTAGCAGGAGCAGGGAGGTGGGGAAGAGGGGAGACGTGGCTCAAAGGGTACAAAGTGCAGTTATGAGCAAGTCTAGAGATCAAAGGTACAGCATGACAACTATAGTTAATTATACTGTATTGAATACTGGAAAGTTATTAAGGAAGTATAGTTCAGTGCTTTCATCACACACAAAAAATGATAAATATGTGAGTTGATGCTGATTACCTTGATTGTAGTAATCACTTCACTATGCACATATATCGCTATATGTTGTACACCTTAAATAGGTACAATTTTTATTTAAAAAGACAGAATATGGCCCCCTTCTTGCTTTCTCACTTCCCCCCCTGCTTCATCCTCATTCTTTCCCTTTTCTCCTTTATTTCTCTATTATCATGTTTCTATAGTTGTTATATGGAACTGGGATAAAATTTTTAAAGTAAACTCTTGTACTGTTCTTAATAGATACATATATATTTTTTGGTGTAAAGGAAGAATTTAATGTGTTCTTGAAAGAGTTATATACTTGCTTGACATATTTTTCTCCTTGTGCTGCATCTGTGACTCATATCAGGAATTAAAGAACTTATCTTTCCTCTATAATATAAATAAGCTTTGTTTGTGGCACACACATTGCTTTGTTTCTCTGATGGGTTAAAGATTTCAGAGATGAGATAGTTTTCAGGCTGGTAAGTCTTTTTTCCATCTGTTCAGAACTATAATCCTTTGTACACCCTGCCACTGAATGTTAGTGTCTACATAGAGTGATTTGGTTGACCAAGGTCTGTTTTTTTTTTTTTCTGTCCCTCATTTGTTATAGATACATTTCATATTGCTCTTCAGCCGACAAGGGAAATTACGGCTGCAGAAATGGTACACAACTCTCCCTGACAAGGAAAGGAAAAAGATCACCCGGGAAATTGTCCAGATTGTTCTCTCTCGAGGTCAGAGGACAAGCAGTTTTATTGACTGGAAGGAGCTAAAACTTGTTTATAAAAGGTGTGAGTAACTTTATGAGAACTACATTTCTCCTTACTGCTTTTGTTTGTTTAATCCTGAACATTTTTGATTGCAACACCAATTTCATCATTTAATGAACTCTTTGGACACTGCAGCCCAAATATCTGTACCAATAGACTAATAGGAAAGAACTCTCCTTTTCTAAAAGGCCTTTCATGGGCCAGGATGGATTCTGGGCAGCTTGTCTGCCCAAGGGTACCGCAGGCCTGCATCCGAGAAATGTCTCAGTGGTGCCGGCTCCATTCCCAGCCCTGTTCTAGTGTTAAGTAAACAAATTATTTTCAGTTGGTAATAAATATGATAGAGAAAATGATGATGACTGTGGTACAGAGATGGGCAGCTCTTTTTATTGTTATTATCCCACATATTTGCAGGTGAAGAAACCGAAGCCACAGGGAGTTTAAATAATTAGTCTCCAATCAATTATAGTAATTGAGCGGTAATTGGTAGAGTCAGAATTCAAATTCAGATCTTTCTGGCTTTAAAGCCTATATATTCTCTCTTTACTGTACCCGCTTGCATGGGAAGACCATAGTGGAAGGAAACCTCAATTTATAGACGAGGAAACTGAGTCCTCAAGAGATAAAGTAATTTTGCCAATAAAGACCTGGATAACGGATCCCTAGCCCAGGGCCAGAGCACAGCCGGCCTGACCCTGCATCCAGCACCCTATTGCAACTTCCAGGGGGAGAACACACATTACAACGGCTCTTGCAAGGGGTGTTTCTAAGACCTGAAGGGGAAAGACAGAAGTAACTTCTGCAGACTATATTTAATGGATTAAATTACTAGGAAGTGCCCAGGCAAAACCCTTCGGCTGGATCCAAGGTCAAAATTTTTAGCGTGCCGACAAGACGCTTGTCTATATTCTCCACCTGCCGGTTTTCTAAAACTTGGGGTTCAATTGTATTTTAAATCATTGTATAAAGAATAGGTTTCAGCAGTTCTCTCAACAGATATTACAGGTGCTGGGTCTAGAACTGTGAACAAAGCAGACTCAGTACCTGCCTGTGGGGAGCCAGCGATCTGGTGCGGGCAGGACAGGCCGTGGAATGGACAATGAAGAGACCCGCTGCTCTCGGGACGGGGAGGCACAGGGATGCATAGCAGGGGCGTCCAGGCCAGTCAGAGAGGACAGACGTTTCTTGGAGGAAATGACATCCAAACTCAGAGCTAGAGGAGGAGTGAAAGCCACGCGAATGGGGTAGGGAAGAGTATCTTAGGTGAAAGAAACATAGAAGGAGCACACGGGACTTGACTGTCCTCAGGTGGGGACATACAGAGTGGCCGTGGGAGAGTGTGAGGGAGAAGGTGGCAGGTGGGGCCTGGGGACCCTCGGCCAGGTGTTTGGAATTTACAAAGGACAGTTCTCAAGCCAGGAAGGGGCATGAACAGACCCCCCGGTTAACGTACACCAAAGTACTCTCTCCCCCTGAAAATAGCTCCTCAAGGTACTGTTTTGTTGAAGGACTTTCACACAATTAACAAAAGTAGTCCAATCACCCCAGTATTTTCCTATGTTTTACATTTGGGGAGGACATGGAATGTGACGCAGGATGGTTTCATTCTTGGGCTTGGGTGGGGAGATGCTCTGGAGTGTGGGCGGGAACTGCATCTTCACTGGGGAAAGAGACATCTTCAGGTTGTTTAATGGGTCATTGTATTTTACTTTATTTTTTTTCTTTTCAAGGTATGCTAGTTTATATTTTTGCTGCGCAGTGGAAAATCAGGACAATGAACTTCTGACACTAGAGATTGTGCATCGTTATGTGGAGTTGCTGGACAAGTACTTTGGAAACGTAAGTTGTCCTGGCCCATTAGAATCCGCCAGTCTCCAACTCAGCTCTTCCATCAGTCTGTCTTTCCTCCCACTCGTTCTCTCTCCCAAGTGTACAATACGAATTGCATTTGTACTGAGGATCAGAACACCAGGCTCTCCCCACTTCTTGTAGTTCTTAAAGGATAGATTGAGAGGTTTCCAGAGGCAGGTCATGTCTCTGTCTTCAGACCACCGTGCTAGAGGTCTATTAAATGCACTAGAATGTAATTCCTTCTTTGTCATTGACGGACATCTCTCTTCTACTTTGATTTTCTATCTCTCTCTGGCTTCTTTTACTAAGTTACACATGTTCTTTAGTATTATTTACACATAAGGAAAAAAACACCAATAAAATAAACAAAAATAAAACCCCTTTGTTTCACATTGCTGTTATCTCCTTGCCTTTGCGGGCAAGTAATAAGTTACATGAGGTGGCCCAATCCTCCAAACCCATTCACTCTGCAGCTGCTTACAGCTTGGGTTCTACCTTTGCTGCTACCAGGAAATCAGTTATCACTGGCCCTTCCCCTGGGGCCAACACTAATGACTCTTCTTAAATCTACACCTGCCAAACCTCCCTGAAGCACTGGACCCTTGCTCATCACAATGCTTTCGTTCACTTTGCTCCTTTTCCCCGTGCCGTGACACCAAATTCTGCTGATGGCTGGGTTTCTGAAGGCCTCTCCTGGTTCCTTCCACTGAGCCCCTCCCACTGCCTGCTCTCTGAATGCGCTGCTGCTCTTCCTACTCTCTTGTGTACTTGATTTTCCCTCCTGGAAACCTGTTACTAGGCAACTCTTTCTCACTTTGCTGGAGATGCTCTTCGCTGCAGTTCTCATCGTCACCTGAGTCTTTACTGCGACAAGAAATAAACTCACCTTCCATCTTGCAATTGAATTTATTGTGTCCCCGGATCTTTTCATTGTTCTCCAGCCTTTACTAAAATCTACCTCTGTCTGTTCATATTGGACTGAAATTCATGTCCTTCTTTCCCGTCACTAGGCTAGGTTTACTGGGCATTACACGTTTGCTTCTCTTTTAAACCTCACCTCTGGCCCTCGCCTGGTCTGGTGGTCACCACCTTCCTTGCATAGACAGATCCAGGGTGACCTTCCCCCTCAGTCACTCTCCATCTATAATGAATAAAATTCAATCTTCTTAGCCTGGTATTTAAGCTCTCTAAACACTCGCCCCAGACCACTTCTCCAACTTTCTTGCTTCTCTCTCTTTACATCCCCAACATACCTGGTGCTCCCGTGATATGGACCAGCCTGGTATTGTCTTTAACTTGTACAGGATTGGCTTGACCACCAAACTACAGGTGTCTCGCGATCATGACCTAGGACTTATTTGTTTGTTTTTTCACTACTTATAACCAGCTCTGGACCAGATTTTAGCAAATGTTTCAGAAACAATTTAGTTCACATTCTGAGTAAATAAATCACTGAATTTGGAAAGTGTTTTCTTCTTAGCAATACTCTCCATATTCCCGTGCATGTTGAAGATTATTATTAAGTATTGTTAGGAGAGGTTATTTGCAGAAGAGTTTTCTGTAATTCATTTAGTAGAATGGGCAGCATTTGCAGTATTGGTTGGCATTCTATCAGATTTGTGGCAACATTTTTTATAGGGTGAGCACTTGAAGGGTTTTTGCAAGAATTTTCCTGCTGTCCCTTCTTCCCTCTCCTTTATTACCCCCTTTTCTTTCCTTTGTAAATTATGATAAGATTTAAAATGTTGCTTCAGGAACTTTCAGTTGTTGATTAGTGTACAGAAGTAATAAGTGGCTGCTAGATCACTTTTCTTTCTCTTTCTCCTCGTTCACTAAGTTTATTTTCATTTTTAAAAGAGAGATTTGTGAAGACTTAATAGCATATTTTTATATTTGATTATTTAATGTTATGCTTTCTGTCACTCAAATGACTTCTGACATTTTGGTGCTTTCTTTTGAAAAAGAACTCCAGACTTGGCCTTCTGCAAAGGCTGAGGGGGTTTTCCTGAGGCCTGGGTTGTCCCAGCATTCGCCTTCTCCCCCTCACTGGCGCACTCTGGTTTGGCCTGTTGTGTTTTTCTGGATTAATCCAACTATGATAATATGCATTGAGGCTGAATGTTGACCTGGATCTTATCTGACCAAATTTTGGGTATGCCAGGACACATGCCTTTCTCAAGAAGATTTGAACCACCTTCACTAATGCTGGGCTCATTTAGAGCACAAGGAGAGTCAGAATGAATTCTCATTTCTCGAACATTAATTTTTCATCCTATTTTGGCATACCTTTAGAAGCTCTTTGTCGGGAACCAAAATTTAATTCACTAAAAAATTCAATGAATCTTTCATTAAGCTAAGAGCAGCTAAGAGCAATTCAAGGCTATCTGCCCAGTAGGCGTTCAATTCTTATTAATTAACAGTGATGAGCAAAGCGTAGTGATTTTCGTTGACGTCATCTCAGGAATATTTCTCTTTGGTTTAATTTTCCTCTTGTGTTAATACTGAAGGTTTCCTTGAATTCTGCCCTCATGTTATCTAAGGGAAAACTTGGTACTAAGCTTCCCTTATATTTAGCTCTGGAAGAATATTACCTTCTGATGACAGATAAATCAAAATCTCTGGTTACTAATTTAAGTTATGTATTCTTTTTTTAGCACTTTTCAATTCCAAGGAGATTTACAAGGATTCACTAGTTAATCTTTCAATCTTCAGTAAGTAGCATTAACCCCAATTTATAGAGGCTAAGTAGAAATGCCTCAGAGCTTCACGGTAGATAAGGGTCTGTTCTGGGATTTAGATACCTGCCATATTTCCCCATGAAAAATGAGTTTTTACCAATGTGCTCAGAGGGTGTGGATGCTGCGTTCCCAGAGAGCTTGAATCTTGCTGTGGGGATTTTCCTGCTGTGAGAAGAGCCCTCTGAGCCTGCTGGATCCCAGTGACACTGGCTCACGAACAAGACCTATAATTTGGCCCATCACATACCTCTCTTTTACAGAGAAGAACAAAAATGACACTCAGAAACGTTAATGGGAATATTTATATACTTTGCTAAACTCATGAGGCTATTGTGAGAATCAAAGACACAGTGTAGTTAACACTACTTTGTAAACTGTCAGTTGCTCTGCAGTTACACCTTGCATTATGATTATTCTACATACAGTCTCATACATTCCTTGTATATAACTTGATACCTTTGGTATTTACTTTACAACAGAATCCTGTAAGGGAAGGTGCCTCTTAGATGCATCTAAAAGAATTTAGTTATTGAATACCAGAAATATTCTTGCTACATCACATATTCTGTTCTAAGAGAAGACCCTTAAACCAAATTAGACCGAAGCACAAGGCTTGAAGGTCAAAGATCAAGTTAAATTATCACTGTTTTCTGCCTTTTATAAGCTTTCCACCAGAATAGAGATATACCAAAAAAAAAAAAAAAAAAAAAAAAAAAAATTTAAAAAAAAGTGGCTCATGTGCTGAGTAACACAGAAGCCATGTGTTTTTGCATAATTAGATGGGATGAAGTTATCTGAACATCTGCTGTACTGAGATGGAGTGCTTAGGTGGAATTAGGAGTGTTTGAGTGATTAGGCACTAGCTGAAGAACCTGCATTTAGGCTAGGGTTCTCCTGAAATGTTCTCTCTTCTTTTTCTGCAATACAATAATCCCTCAGGGTTAGACTCAAGAAATAACCAGAGAGTAGCATTTTGGGGCTGTTGTATATGAAATAGCTGCTCATTGGTAACATTCTCTATCATGCCGTTAGAATTCATGTATCCATTTCCCTTGTGACCTAGAGTTAGTAACTGTATGTCCAAGTTGTGTGTGTACGCATTATGTGCTTGTGCAGTATGTCTGAGTGTTTTGTGTGCTTTTGGCTTTGCATGCCTCCTTACCTTATCCCGGCCCTTGAACTGAGCAGTGCAGTAAATTAATTGCCCCATGGCTGCTGGGGAGCTCGCCAGGCTTGGGGGAGGGGGGATGGCTGCTCTGAAAGTGGGGTATGATACGTTCTCAGAGAACTTGAATTAGTATCTGTCAGGTTCACTTTGCAGAATTCTGGCTGCTGTTTTCTCCTAATGAGGCTCCTGTCTGTCTTGGATTCCTGGTCTACACCTGCCTTGAACTCTGAGGTTCCTCAGCTCTTGCTACTGTAACTCCTGATTTCCTGCTTCTTCCAACCTCTGGTAACTGCTTATTTCTCCTACCTTCTTCCATGTGCATGATGCCTGTGCTTTCTTTTTGTTTATCTAGATTGTTTAAAATTGCAAAGTAATGCAAACTTTTATCTATCCTTCTAGACATATACTTTTAAAAGTAAAAATGGGATTGCATTATGCATATTATTCTGCAACTTTATTTTCCTCTTACAAGTCTCTCTTGGAGCTCTTTCCATGTCTCTCCATGAAATCTACCTCATTCTTTCCAACTTCTACATAGAATTCCACGGTATCCCATCCCATACCCAAGCAGGAGTATAGCATACACTATTTAAGCAATTACCTTATGGATGGACTTTGGGTTGTTTTCAATTTTTATTATAAATTAGGCTTCCATAATTTTTGTTCTTCACATATATATTGTGCACTAGTTTGAGTATAGCTTAGAAATAAATTCCTTGAGGAATTGTTGGGTCAAAGGATTTATATATTTAAAATCCAAAATGTTGACCCTCCAAAATGTTCTATAAAATTCACAGATTCCACCAACAGTGAGCGTGAGTACCTGTTTATCGACAGTCTCACCAGCAATGGTTTTTCTTAATTATCATGTGAAAATTAGTTTAATCTGCATTTCCCTGATTACTAGTGAGGTTGTACATCTTATATGTGTATTGGCATTTTTTCCCATGTCTTGCCTTGTCTATGAATTGCTTCTTGACAGCCTTCTTTTTGTTGTTCTGTTTGAGATGCTGGTCTTAGGGATTTGTGAGAATCCTTTCTGTATCATGGATACTGTTCTTTCTCCTCTGTCATCTATGTTGCAAATATTATCCCCATTCTGTTGCTGTACTTTTAACTTTGTTTAGAGTGCCTGGCCCACAATGCACTCTGATCTCTCCGTGTTTTTTCCTGGGCAATTAAGTTGTACTGTCATTCAAATACCTGGAATGAGTGTGTTCTGGAAGTAAAAGATAGCGTTTCTTAGCTGAGGACGTGTGCTTTTGTTATGGCTTTATTATTCCTCTCTCTGATAGTTGTTCTTAAGAGGGATCCCTAAAGGTTTGAATAGACTCTTATCTTAAATTGGTTTATATATGTGTGTGTGTGTATCTGTAGGTATATATATGTGTATATGTAGATAATTGTAAATTTATATGTATCATGTATGTATGCATATATATCTGTGTGGGGGGAGAGAGAGAGGCCCTTGAGGGAGGGAAGAGATAGATATAGATATACTATATACACACATGTTGAATTGATGCTATTTTTCAGTGAATGAAGAGACCATAACCTTTGAAGATGAGTTAGATGAGCTTTTCTGAGTTGCTCGTTTATTATAGTTATATTACATTCATTTGTTCTTATGTTTCTAGATTCAGTTGGATCTGTCAGCATGAACCATTTTCCTTGTGGAATCTGCAAGGTTATGGAACTAAATCCTGAATATATGGAGCACTTTGCTAATTGACATCCATTTTCTGTAAAGTTACAACATTCAATGGATTCAGGGAGCTGTTGGTCTCGGAAGCCATTAATCCCCAGCATCATAGGATCTGGGCCTGTATGGTGGCCGCCTAGTTATCCTGCAGACATTTATTGCGTTCTTCTGTGTGCCAGGTATCAGGCATATAACGGGCACCGAGACACGGCCCGTGCCTGAGCTCACTCCGTTGCGGGGGGACTGCTAAGTAAGCGTGCACCAGGGCACATAAAGGATGAAAGGAAAGAGGGTGGGGGCGGGGAGACGCTGTGCTTCTGACTTTTGCCTTTGGCCCTGAAAAATGAGTTTGGTTTTGCCAGAAGAATAAAGGAAAGGACATTTAGAGAACATTCCAAGAATTGCTGGAACGCAAAGGGCCCAGGCATGAAAGGATGTTGTGAGTTTGTGGAATGCGCGCCCGTAGTTTAAGGAGCAAGGGCTGACACGGAAGCCAGAGAGGAGGGCCCCAGGTGGGTCACAGAGAGTCCCGTGAGCCAGGCTGAGGGACTAAAACTCTGACTTAAATATAAAACCCTACACAGAAGGGGACCAAGATCAGCATTTTAGGAAAGGGTTAGTGGTCGTTCCCCTTGAGCAGGCACACACGCCACCTGGAAGATCATTGCAGTGGCCTCAATGTGGCAGGTGTGAGCAGCGGCTGTGACAGTGAAGAGAATGGGAAGGGGCTTATTTACACGATGAAATCAATAGGAATTGGTGACCAATTTGAAAGGCATGAGGCCAAGGGAGGGAGAGGAAAGAGGGGAGGCCGGAAAATAAGTCAAACTGTAGGATGCATTAGAATGTGCCACTACATAGAGGTGCACTTACTAAGGAAGAGAGGGACTAGATGAAGAGGAATGTGCTTGAGTTCAGTTTGGGACATGGTGACTTAGACCGAGGAATGCCCAGGCAGAGGCTAGTTAGCAGGTGAACATATTGACTAGGCATCTAGGTTTGTTAAGTACTTGCATGCTAGACAATCTTATTGACCATCTTACTCTCAATAAGACGGTTGATGTAGAGAGCCTTTGCCTAGGAGAATACATGAACTGCAAGGAAAATATAGGTTTAGGAGAATATATGTGTATGTATTCTCCCGAGAAACACCAATATTCAAGACGAAGTTGGATCGCTAGAATCTAACATGTAGGCAACATGCAGCGGAGGTGTTTGTTTTGCTAACTGGTATGTCCCAAGCACTCCATAAAAACCTCTTTTGTAAAAAAAAAAGAAAAAATTATTTTAATTTTCCATTACAGTTGACATATACTGTTATACTAGTCTCAGCTTTACAACATAGCGATTAGACATTTCTATACCTTAGGAAGTAAGGCCCTCCGCCCCCCCCACCAGCCCCGCCACCAATAAGACTAGTTCCCAGCTGAGATACTTCTTAAACAATGATGGTGACAGTGGTTCTCGACAGTGTCTGGCATCACTAATGTCACCCGGGACCCTGTTTGAAGTTCAGACTCACAGGGCTTTTTATTTTCCTATTTACATTTATTATGTTTTATCGTAATTTTTCCATTCCCATTTAGTCCCCTTATACTTCCCTTCCTCCGCCTGCCACAGTTGCAACGCTGTGGTCCATGAGCCCTTTTTCCTTTCTGCTCTATCTCTGCGCCCCTGACCCCCTCCACCGCTGCCCTGAGCTGTCAGCCTGCTCTCATCCATCGATGAGTCTGTCTCCATTTTGTTTGTTAGTTCAGTTCATTCATTATATGCCACATACGAGTAAAATCATGCAGTATTTGTCTTTCTCTCACTGGCTTATTTCGCTTAACGTATTGCTCTGCAGGTCCATCCATACTGTCACAAAGGGTAAAATTTTCTTCTTTTTTTATGGCCAAGTAGTATTCCATTGTATAAATGTCCCATAGTTGTTTTATCCACTCATCTATAGATGGACACTTGGGCTGCTTCCATATCTTGGTGATTGTAAATAATGCCACAGTGAACACAGGTGTGCTCATTTACAATCAGTGCTTTGGATTCCTGAGGATATATTCCCAGGAGTGGGATCCACTTTTAATTTTTTGAGGTATCTCCATACTGCTTTCCACAGTGGCTGTGCCCATCTGCATTCCCACAAACTCTCAGGTTTTACCCAGACCCACTGAATCAGAAACTCTCGCCTTGTGTGTTTTAATGAGGCTTCTGGACTGTGATTTAGACACAATCTGAAGTTTGAGAGCCACTGGCCTGTGACATAATTTTGAGAGAAACTAGCACAACTGAGTTCTGAAGTGTGAGTTTCTGAGGGCCCTAACGCTAGGAGCCCAGGTCCGCCGCAGGAGAAGCGCAGCGCTGCCCTGCGCCTGCGGCGCGGCAGGGCTCGGCTTTCCCTTATGCGGGTGTGCAGCTGAGCGGAGCGGCCTCATTCCTCCACCGAGTCTCAGATTTCTCGTTCTGACGTTAAATATTATGTAAGGACGTGCTCTGTTTTCATAGAATGTGATTTCACTACTTTATGCATGCATGCATTTATTTTTAAATATTTTTATTTATTTATTTTTAGAGAGAAGGGAAGGGTGGGAGAAAGAGAGGAAGAGAAACAGCGATGTGTGAGACTTACACCGATTGGTCACCTCTCCCATGTGCCCAACTGGGGACCTTGCCTGCAACCCAACCATGTGTCCTGACCAGGAATCGAACCGGCAGCCTTTCAATTCTCAGGCCGGCACTCAATCCACCAAGCCACACCAGCCAGAGTGTGCTACTTTCATTAAAGGCCTACAATTCCCTCGTTCTATTTTCTGTCCTTAACATACTATCTGATATTTTTATCTTTGGCATGCCACATGGATGTAACTTGAAGAAGCTTGAGATACTGGCAAATGTGTCTTGGTAACACTGCTGCACATTTATCAAAACATTTATCTGTTTATTTATTTATTTATTTTAAAGATTTTAATTAATTAATTTATTCTTAGAGAGGGAAGGGAGGGAGAGAAACATCAGTGTGTAGTTGCAGTTGCATCTCATGTGCCCCCTACCGGGGACCTGGCCTGCAACCCAGGCACGTGCCCTACACTGGGAATCGAACCGGCAATCCATTTGTTTGCAGGCTGGCGCTCAGTCCACTGAGCCTCACCAGCCAGGGCTCAAAACATTTATTGTTGTTGTTGTTGTTTTGTTTTTTTTTTGTCCTACCAGGTCTGTGAGCTGGATATTATCTTTAATTTTGAAAAGGCTTATTTTATCCTGGATGAATTTATAATAGGTGGAGAAATTCAGGAAACATCCAAGAAATCTGCTGTCCAAGCCATTGAAGATTCTGATATGTTACAGGAGGTCAGTGCTCCGTTTCTTACGCGGTGGGAAAAGATGATGATGATGATGCATGTGGCGCTGGTGGTTGCGGCGGCGGCGGCGGTCTGCCGCGGTCATGGTGATGGTGGAGGTGATTACGGTAATTATATATTAGCCGACACTTATTGAGTGCTTATTCTGTGCTGGCTACAGTGTCTAAGCAATTGATGTATTAATTTATTTAATTATCACAGCAACTCTAAGAGGTAGGTGATATTGTTACCTTCATTTTAAAGATGAGGAAACGGGCACAGAGAGGTTAAATGACCTGCCCCACGTCCCACAGCCAACGAGTGTGGAATAAAGATTTGAACCGAGGCAGTTGGGCTCCACAGTCTTTGCTTTTCCTGTTTGAGCGTTGTAGTGAAAATACTTCACTATCAAAAAGCTATCAAATACTTGGTGATATTCTTTTCGAGAAAAATTTTATGAGAGGTAGAAAAAAAGACTCTCATTAAAATATCTGTGCTGCCCTGGGAAAGGAGAATAGCAGTACGTTGTTATTTCATTGGCCAGGGCTATTAGAGCTGTATTATTGAAGATGGCATGTATCATTTTAATTAAAATTCCTTACACCTCCTCAGGAGGCTGCACGTGCGCTCCGATTTGCATAAACAAATTGGGACCACGGTGGCTAGCTTTCCAAGGTGTAAGTGGGCCCTGAACCATCCCTTTGCCTGCGCTCCTGACCCTGTGATACTCATAAAGTGGAGTGGGGCTTTTCTTGTAGATGCAGTCCAGTTTTGCATTGTACCTAATAAAGGAACTTACCTACGTTACTCCCTTCAGTTTCCCCAGGGACACTGGGAGAAATGGCGCTTCGCCCCACCTACTTTGCCCTCCTAAATGAGGTCATCCAGCCCAGCCCTGCTACCTCTAGGTACTTCTCCCTACAGCATCCTGGGATCTTGCCATCTTTCTATTTTTGTAAGAGCAGGTCAAGAGATTCCGGAGTATTATAAATCTTTAAAAAATTGACGTTAAAGCCATTCTTCCTGCTGTTTGAAAGTAACAGGCTGACTAAGTTAATAAAACACCGTGAGGTATGATTTGCCAGCAACTGTGTTTGCACATCTTTGGGCTGATTACTTGCTCCTGCGCATCTCGGGATCCAGGCTTTGGACACCGGGAACACTGTCTGTGTGAGGGAGTACCCATCAGCCTCTGCTTGCGCCTGTGAGGAAGCCAATGCTTTAGCTGCTAGAAGTGTGCTCACCTCAAAAAATGCACATAAACTTTCTGATGTTTACTTGACTCTCTCCAAATGTCATAGGAAGGGAATTCTACGAGGTATTTGAGAAAGCAGCAGTTTGGGAATTCCACAGAACAACCTTTGTTAAAATATGCCAAGGGATTATTGATCATTCTATCCCCAAGGTCCTCACTGTGGAACCTCCTTATAGGATAAACAGACTTTAAACAGGGTCCTTTAGCACTTTAGTAATTAAAGTTTCTTGAATTGGGGCCAAGACACAGAGGAGCTATTTTGAATCCTCCCTTCTGCAGGAAAACGTTTTAAAGAGCTTGCAGTGTATCTGGTATTTCTAGTTCCATTTTAATCTGGGAAGCAGGTATTTCAAGAGAGAACCCTTTCACAATTAAACTCTGCTTGGTAGTTTAGGTCCCTGGTGATTGAGGGGAAGGTCCTCACGGGGTGGTCTCAGGGGACCCCCCCATCAGCCCCTGAATCCCCGTAGTGAACAGGCAATGCCATGGCTGTCCTCTAAATCTCACTGAGCAGCACTGGCCGGATCGAAACAGCATTATCGGTATTCTGATACAGGCCTCTGGTGCTGAAGCTAAATCAATGAAAATTTGGGGAGGTAGTTGAAAAATCGAATTTGTATATCTGATTTGTTTTGTATGTCTAGTCAGAGAAGCTTAGAATGAATGAGCACGAGTCATATAATTGCATAAAGAAATATATTACTGCTTTCTTTTATGCCTGTCCTTTGGACCTAAGCACATATTTGCAGTTACCAAAGATGAAGGGAGGCCTTTTAAGATTGCTTTCACTTTGGCCCGACTGAAAACCTGCAAGCAGCCCCTGGGCCTTTCCCTCAATTCCTACCTAATGAATGGCTGTCTCCCCATGTTTAGGAAGAGAATACATAGTCTTAAATCTCCAAATGCTGAAAACTTATTCTGAGTGTACAGGGGCAAGACGTTGATAATGTGGAAATAAATGACCAGTTTAATTGGTTGGGGATGACTTTAGGCTGTGTCTTATTTTGGAGGTAACAACTAAGCACCGCGGACAACAGGTACAAAGTGATTAGAAGTAAAAAGAAGCTCTGAAAGAAGATAGCGACCTCCAATTGTAGAGGTTGCAATTCCTGAGGTTACCATGGAGACAACAAGAGAAGATGTTTTGACTAGAGAATAAGAAAGTTTAGAAGGGATGGTCAAGCGGTACCTCATTAGCTCCAGCTAAGGATACCTTGCATGTGTATGTGTAGATACATGGGAAATGAATAGGTGCGTCCCCACGCTGTCACCCGTAAAGCAAGACCATGTTAGCAGCCCGGCCCCCCATAATGCAGTAAGAGGTCGTAGCATGCCCAGTGTGGAACGTCCAAGATACACTGCAGCGCCAGATGGGTAGCAGGAGGGATCCAGGATACAGGCTCTCTAGTCGTCTTGCAAAAGGTCAGGGCAGAGCTCTTTAAAGTTGTGCCAGCCTTCAAAGCCTGTTCTGACTGTTAAAGTAGCAGGCTCAAGACAACACCAGCCTCGTACGTCATTGGTTCATGTAGCACGGCTTAGGAAGGGCAGCCTGTGAAGGCTTTAGCAGGCTGAGTTAGCCAGTGGCGGGAAGCAGTGCCAATGACGAGTGAACTGGGAAGTCCATGAGATGACCGCTCCGGGGCCTTTTGCTGGCCTAGGCCCCTTCCAAGGCTGCAGGCTCACTATGGTCCAATTCATCAAGGTATCTTAGCTGCAAAGAATATGCAGCCAGACAATGAATAGAAAATGTTATAGTGGTACTGTCAGGCACTTAATGATTGAAATCCTTATGTTATTGTTCTGGACTTTGCGATAGATGTCATCTTTTTAAAAATTTATAATTTACTATCATTTTTTCCTCATTTTTAATAAACTTGATGCCCAATTTTATATTTGTAACTTTGTATTTTTTAAAGTGGTATAAATTTTAGGTGCCACGAAACAGGCCGGGGCCTCTGGGCCAACGCGATGTGCTTGCTGAGTTGAACGACATGGGCGGCTTCTGTGGTCGGAGATGCAGGGCAGAGGTCTCAGGCTGTGGGTCTGGGCCAGCCCTCATCTGCAGTAGAGGGTGTGGGAGCCTGACAGGGAGGTGTGGATGGTGGACCACCGTATGTTCAGCCGGGGAACGCTGGCCTTCGAAACAAGCTGGTGGAGACCAGTCAGAACACCTGATTTGTAACCCTAGTCTCCTCTGAGCAATCTTGCTGGGCCTTGGCCTTGGTCTCTTTGGCCCATGCTGGTTAACGGTCTTCTTGGCAGGCGCAAGTGAATCACACACGCTGGGGGTCAGGCTTCAGAATGCACTGAGCACTGCAGATGGAGCTGCCAGAGGCAGGGGTGTTACCTGGGGCTCCCCCTTGGTCTCTCTACTGATTTAGTCCAGAATCCACTCTATTGTACATATATATGTGTGTATATATGTGTATATATTTACATATATGTGTGTATATTAAAAAAATAGAGAAGAGTGCAAAAGTCCATCTTTCATCCATTGTAAAGGGCTTGCAACATCGCTGTAACTTTGAACTCTGCCTGTAATTGTGAACCCACTCAAACATTCCAAAAAGTGCTGGGAGAACAATTATGGCCTTGTGGCATATTAGCAAGTTTGATAACTGTTGAAGAAGATGAAGAAACATAATGTGTATGCTTTGGAGGAAAACCTCATCGAAACTGCATGGCAGGAAATCTTAAGAATTAGGGTTGTTTATTTGTTATAGCTTGGCAATAAATGTAAGAAAGACGTCTGTACAATATCTGTAACAATAAATATGTTGTACAAATAGAACTCGGATTTCTCTCATACACATGCCTGGCGAGAGTCCTCGCAATCATTTTAGCAGACATACTTATCTGAAGTCTGCAGTGATATCTTGCAGCTGTTGCATGCTTCTTTATCAGACATTCATTTTGTGATCCAGGTGGGTTTCTCCTGTTGACTGTTAGTACCAGCCACATGGAGGTGTATACAAATTATACTCAAACTTCGAGTCTTCTCTCTTGATTAGAATGCAGATATTTATGTCCACATACACTTTTCAAAACTGCTTTTCAGTAATGGCAAAGGAATAAGTAAAAGCACAAAAAAGATTCCACAGTCTGCTAAAGGTTGTGGCTTAAGGAAAAGCTGTTCTAATCTATTGTTCTCTTTCAGACACTGGAAGAGTACATGAACAAGCCTACATTTTAACTGTGCGCCTCCTTGGAGGCTCCGAGCACCACAGGCTGTGGATTTGTCCAGAAGCAATGCCTTGCCCAAGTGACTGAATAGAGCCTCCAGCACCATGCCAAAAAGAACTTAAAAGGGATTTTTTTGTTAACTAGCAGAAATTAAAGTTGTTTAACATAATGTATTTATCATTATTACATGTCTGTATTATATTGTATGTGATGACTGATTGTAGCTCTGGATGTTCACAGAATTGCTTCATAACTCAGTAGACTGAACGTTTTGTTTGCAATGTGTTAGCTCCTTGTAATATTCTAAGCTAATTTAAATGCATTTGTTGTAGTGTGTTTTTGCTGCACTTGGTCCTCTTACTGACAGGCTGAAAACTGTATTGTAATAACTCATGATTTAGAATGTAAAGTAGCAACACTTTTCTAAATATTTAGCTTTTAAAATTGTATGATGGATAATTCAAAATCATGTTAATTAGTCCAGAGTTTATACATAATGTTAGACATTTTTAATACACTTAATAATAATAATGTAATTTCAGTCCAGATACAGTGTATCTGGTTTTAATGTCCTGAATTTATTTATTTGTCAGGGTTGGAGTGAAGGAGAATAACCAAAGATATTATAGGGGTGAAGTGTTTCTGAGGCCTTGGAAGGTCCTCTCATGGCTGAGGTTTTAATTTTACTTTTTAATTGAGTATAAAAACACAATAAACTCATGTTTTCTACAAACTCTATATATTGATTAAGGTTTTTAGACATCTGAAGATACAGTGTCTATGACTTCCTTCATTATAAAATAATAGCATAATAGAGATTAATAACAATAGTAATAATTATTACTACTACTCAGTAATCTTATATATTTCAAGCACTCTTAGTTGCTTGAGAGATTTTGTTTCAAGTACATTTTAATGTATTTCTAAGATATTTGAAAACTTACTGTTCGTTAGGCTTACTTAGAGCATTTAATACAGGGTGAGCAACAGTAGGTTTGTAGTTCATATGGAAAATAATATAATAATAACTAATAATACAAGAATGAACTGTTTCATGTACTCATAACTGCAAACTACTTTTGCCCAACCCTATTTTATTGCTATCTGGTGGAGGCCTTTTCTCCCTTTTTCTTTCATCACCTACCCCAAAATATTTGCTGCTGACCATCATTGCGAATATGTCCCATTCATGCTTCCTGGAATGGAAGTTCTATGTAACGAGGTAGTAAATGTCATCAGACATTGTATGGAAGTAGCTGGTAATGTTTGGTCTTACTGCCCCACTTTTATGTCTTACCCGTGCATGTGCTATGTGAGTGTTGAGGTCTGGTATCATGTGCACTGGAGCGGGTAGGGACCTTCGAGTGCTTTTTCTAAGAGTGTGATTTCTATTGGGTTTTCTAGGTGATCTGATAGGGTAGACTTTAGAGAACTTGAGGGAGAAAGGTTCTCATTGATTTCTCTTACCAGAGATATTTAGGGAAGAATGGCAAGGCAGGAGCAGCAGAACTGAAGGAAAAATCAACCAGTTTCTCAACAGAACCATCATTAAGTGGACAAAACTCAGATTAGTATGCGAAGTAATGATTGGGCTTTCAACATCTAACGTTTTCTCAATTAATCATGTAATTACAATTATGGCATCAGACTGGAGTTTGACTATCATTTTTGATCACTTTGTTTACCTACTTATTCAGTTTGTGGTTTAGCTTTTTGTTGTTGTTATTGATATGGTGGAACTCTTTTTAAAAACATTTTGTAAAGATGGACTTTGAACATGATTTTTTATGTGTTTTACATTTTAGACATTGTCTAGCTATTTATAGACAGGGCTTCTCAGGCCTTACGTCAGCATCACCCATAGAAAATGAGTATAATACAGTATGGCATACTAGGGTAAATTTGAGGGATTTTGGGGACATCTTCATGGGCCTTGGTGAAAATAATCATTATACTTTCTTTATATTCTATAATTATAATAAAACTACCAAGTGAAAGGAAAGATACTACATATTAAATTTTATAAAATGTCTGAATAAAATGTTATAACATTTTTAAGTGAGGAACTTGAGTGTGCTTTCATGAAGAGATATTTAAAAAAATCAGATTTCATGCTTGAAATTGTTACCCATAATTCCTGGTAAATTCACTGTAATAAGACCTCTTCATTTTCTTGGTGCTTGTCATCACAGACAAACTTCACAAGTATGTGACAGCAAATGATGAAATTACTTTGTTTCTGTTGACTTCTTTCTCACCTTTCACCCACATTTTGATAATCTAATCTCTTTACCAATAGTTAATCATGTAGTCATTCTTTAAGGCTAGTAAATCCTTTTCTTTCATTAACTTATATAAAGCTGGCATTGTGATAAAGCAAATGAATTTTTATAATCATATATATATTTATTTTTTAAGAAAAGTTTATTTTTTATTGTATTTCTTTCCATTACCATTTCTCTCTTATTCCCTCTTCTACCTCCACCCATTGAAGCAGTCGGAGGGTTAGCTCACATTTGGAACCATGGGTTCTCATAATTCTTCCTTTTCTTCAGCCTTAATGTTTTATTTACGTCAAAATATTATCAGCTAAATTATGCTGACACCTTTTAGTAAACATCCATTTAACACACAGGATTAGTGAACATTTTAAACATCTGTGAGTAAAAAGTATGAAGCAATGCTCTCTTGTAAGTTATAACAATATCCGGTGTAGCTCATGAGGCCCTACTAACAATGGCAAAGGCCCACGTCAGTCACGTGATTGCCAAATTGCTCATTTTACCAGCCCCCATGAAAACTCTCAGCGTTTCCAAAGGGAAGAAGAAAAGTGTCACTTTTGAATAATGTTATTAGTAAACAGATAGGGGACATGTCAAAGACATGGAAATAATTCTAATCTAGACGACAGTTAAATCATAAATGTATCATCTCAGATTAATCTACCCTTGTTAAGAACTACACTGAGAAATGCTTAGAACACTTTATTTTGTAAGTAACAAAACAAACTAGTTAACAAGTTATAATGGGAACACTACATAAATTAGTACTGATGGCACAAATTCAAGGTGAAAACCTTGAGATTTAGTTAATATCTGAGTTTATTCACAAAGAACTAAACAAAAGTAAAAGTTCATCAGTAGGCCTGAATTCCATATTAAATAGTACTATCAAAACGTGTATCTGACATAGCCCTACTGTTATAGGCTTTTCTGTTTTTCGCCTTACCTGACAAAAATAGATTATCATTGTTTAATACCAAAGTACATTTTCTGTGAGATTTTTCAAGTTTGTCAAGTGTTAAATGAGAATTGAAAAAATTCTAATAACCTTTTTGCATTATTGAAAAACGGTCACTGGCTTGCTTTACTTTCATTCCAGAGCATCTGATTGAACTTAATCCAAAATTTCAGCAACCATGTGGAAAAATGTATTAACATTTCTGAAAAGTAAAATTAAACAGAGCTCACCAGTGATGTTTCATGGGATAATAACATGAATCCTAAAGAATTATTAGATACAGAAGAACATCTGTGTATGTTTGAAGAGAAGCTTTATCATTATTTTAAGGAATTTGATATGGAAAAAAAGTTTGAACAAATTAAAAATTAACTTGCTTTTCATGGACATGTACCACAGAGGTGATTGCAGGGGGAAGAGGGTGGGTGTAGGTGGAAGAGGATATAGGGGAGATAAATGGTAAAGGAAAACATGCAATAAAAAATAAACTAAAAAATATATATAGCATTATAAAAATTCACTTGCTTTATTACAATAAATGCCAACTTTACATAAGATAATGAAAGAAAAGACGTTAGTTTTAAGGAATGATTGCATAATTACAGGTGAATGGATTAGATAATCAAAATGTGGGTGGATGGTGAGAAAGAAGTCAACAGAATGTTAGACTTTGGCGCTCTGACTGGATGGCTCGGTTGGTTGGAGCATCATCTCATACACCAAGAAAGGTTGCGGGTCCCATCCACGGTCACAACACATACCTAGGTTGTGATTTGGAGCCCTGGGTGATGTTTCCCTCTCTCCCCTTTCCCCTCTCTAAAAAAAAAAAAAAAAAAAATCAATAAAAACGTATCCAGTGAAGCTTAAAAATAAAAGAGTTAGACTTTGGCTAATTATAATATTAAAAGCCAAACTGAATTGGTAGGTGGATGAATAAATAGACCAAGGCACATAATAAAAAAATGAATAAAATCAATTATGTGCTATTTGGAATAACCTCATGTGATAATAGTTGTAAAGAAAACAACGTGTAAGTACTTTTTCTATTAGTTCAAAACTATTTAAAATGTAAGAGCATAGAGCAAATTAAGGTGAAAGAAAATTTAACTCATAAAGTAAAAATCCAACGAGCTTATTATTTTAGGAAGTGTTAAAATGTGTAGACACTCTGCTCTCTGTGCATTCTATATTCAAAATCTTATGAGCCAAAATATATAATTGGTACACTTAGGCATTTTTCTGAGGCAGCCATCCAAACACTTCAAATATAATTTGAACTTGTGAACTTCTGAAGCAATGGAAAATAGTGGTTTAATTTTCTTTTTCTAAATCTGTATGATTTTTAGCCATGGGTTTCAGAGCTAGCAAGTGGGCCAAAAATCACTGGTTGGAATAGTCTGAGCCATATGATTAGATATCATATTTATGTTTAAAGCATCAGCATGGACTAGGAACTGGGGACCTTCCGGCTAGTCCCGGATGTCCCACCAACAAGGTTCATGAACTTGCTCTTTGGAATGAATGGAATGCCGGAGTCAGACGGGAACTTGGAAGTGAGCTAATCTGAACCACTCCTTATACACAAGAGGAAAGAATAACCAATACACCAACAATTACGCTTTGATCAGGTCCCAGTGCTAGTTAGTCCATTGTTTAATCAAACCATGTCTTGATCAAAGTGTCCCCTCATGGAAGTATTTGATGAGCCTGTGTACTGGTATGAAATACATGCAGAATGACATCCGAGCATGTTTTTAACCCTTTTAAATGACACAAGTGAAGTACATTGAGTGCACTTTAAATGAAGGGTGCCTTACACGAGGAGAGAGAAGTGCTACTCCAGGAATGCAGATAAAAGGTGAATTACCAGATTTTCTTGTTTAATTTTGGAGGTGGAATTTCTTACATGTTTCAGAGGGAAGAGTATTTTTATTTTTATTTTTAAATTTTTG